CTACAGGCATGTAAATTGTAACATTGTTAAAATGATACGTATAAAGGGTAAATTTTCTGGCCATTTCTTTACAAAGTAAGCTGAATCAACCCTACTCCATTGCAAATAAGTGCCATTCAGGATTTTAAGTGGTAAGCCATCTTTGTTTGCATTCTGGTACTTTGTGGTGGTCCAAAAACTGAGCATGCCATCGATGTGCAAGCTGTTTAAGTACCAATCATATATGTCAGAAATCTAAGATAATTGCACATTAATATATATGTTGAAAAGTGGAAGTAAATTATAATATAATAACACTAACTTACTGACTAAGGTTTGTTTATTAAAATATTTCAATTTTTGGTGTAAAAATGTTACCTAGTGCCCCTTTAAGTCTATGTTTTGATACGTGTACCAAAGGAGCTTTCAACACAAGGCTCATTGATGTACCAAATCTTCTATGTCTGGTTTTTTAGCTTGAGGCTCATTGGAAGATGTACCAAGCGCTCGAGGTGATGTGATTATGAGTAGGCTATTTTTACCAAGCGTCTACGTAGAATTTTGCCTCTCATAACGAATGAAAATTTTGCCCAATCTGTCATCTTTGGCAGACAAAAATGAATGTGTAAATATTATATAAAAGGATGTCATTATACTGAATATTCAGAAAAATTAAAACAATAACACTGATGGCATGCCTTCATTTCATGTATTTTTTTATCACATAAATAAACGATAAAAATAATATTATTAAGATAGAAAAAATATTGTGCTGGGGGAAGGTACTGAGATCAATTTAATATGTCTATTCAAGGCCTTCTGGTACTTAACAAAAAACTGGTATAAATTGAAATAATAATACATAGCTTAATCAACATTTAGGATAACAAACAAAATAATAACAAATGATAACAATTAAGTAGTCTCATATCTGATAACGTCTTAGTAACTGATAATAAAATCCAGATCACTGATTGCTTAATAATTACAGTCGAAAGATAGAATTTCAAAGAAAGTTGTGTACATTCAACTATCTCATGGACTTTTGAGAATCACCACAACATTTAGTTGCTCTGTTTGCCAAGCTTGCTGAACCGCTTGACAATGGC